TCCCTCATCGCTGCACGAGGGGCTGAGCTGCGCGGGCACAGCTCCGTGGGGCTGGCAGAGCCACCCCACCCCTGCTTTCATTGCAGGGTCTGGAATAAAGAGACTTTCGATTACCTCCTGGGGCACCTGGGCTCACCGGCAGCGAAGGAAATGGGACTCTTCCTCATTTCTGGCTACAACCTGTTTACGCAGCCGGTGCCGGTAAGGAGCAAGTCGCAGCCAGGGCTGGGAAGGGCTCCAGCTCGGAGGCTGCCCGGGGGCGGGCAGGGTTGTTCTTCTTCCCAGACGATGCTCTGAATGCGTCCGAACCCTTTCAAGTTTGTCTTGTGACAGTTTGCCCAGGACACGGTGTTTTCTCTGCCCCCAGTGCAATACTGGTATGAAGCGAGGGCTGAGCCTTCTGAGGGCGGGAGCCAGCACAGCCTCCTTTGGGGTGGGCTGTGTCCCCCGCAGCTTCTGTCCCACCATGGCACAGCAATTCAGGGTCATTGCTGAACTCAGACCCTTTTTCCTATGGCAGGACCCATCTTGGAAGAACATCGTCCTGGGATTCAGGAACTTGACACCAAAAGAACTTGAACTCTTCCCTGGTTACAGGTATTTTTCACTCCGTTTTCTGGAGAGTCGGTGGTGTGCTTTTTCCCCCAGGCAGGAGAGGTATGGCTGGGTGGTCCCAGGCACCTCCCTGTCTAGGGGCAGAAACTGCGGGCGCAGATGTGGCCTTGCTTCATTACGGCCGCTTCCCTTAAAACAAGTAGGAAACGCCTTAAACAAACCAAAGAAGCAGCAGCCCAGCGTATAAACCATTCCAGCCCCTCTCTTACTTCACCAGATATTGTCAAACTGGGGGAAGAAAATCAGCAGAAGGTGTTTTATGCTGTAGAGGGAAAAAACCCCAAACCCCATGCACTTGTTGTGCAAGGGGAATTGGGGTCCTGGAGCTGCAGCGGCCGTCGGGAGCTTGGGGGCAGGAGGTGGCTCCTCGTGGAAAGGTGCTGCGGGTCCTCATGGCTCCTTCTCCTCGTCTGGTTTCAGCTACGGCTGGTTCAACACGGCGCTGATGCTGGAGT